TGAACCTGTAGTTGTTGTTGAAGCTGCTTATGATGCTGAATTTGATGGTGTCACTGAAGTTGATGGAATAGGCCATCGAATAATAAAGCTGTTGAAAGAACCTTGCGTAGCTGCTTTCTTTGCTCATTACATATCTTTATATAGATGTCATACACATTTTTCACATCCCTGGTAATTTTAATGCTTCATTCTATTAATGGAACCACCTCAGAAAATATGTTCATTGCTCACTCCATATAATAACCACAGACCTCTCAGCTTTTCATATCGTTTTAACACATCTAGTTTCTCGGCTAAGTTTATACACTTTCTTTTAGCTTTTGAACCAGCACTACCATCACTTGGTCTCTTGCTCATGTTGAATGGGGACGCAAAAATGCCGTAAGAAACCTGAGAAAGTTTTTCTCCTTGTCCTGTTCAGATGCGTGAAAACAAAGGACCCACCAAGTTGCGACTGTTTATACTAGTGATGTTGGCGTCACCACTCACAAGCCCGGCAGCCTCCCTGCACACGGCTTTTTTTGTTTAATACTGTACATATCAGGATTTAGTTATTATTTATATGAAAATTTTATTTTATTTTATTTTTATTCTATTTTTGTCGTAAATACAAAGAAAACAATGGTGTAAATTGAATTGGATCCTAAATTAACCAGGGCCTTAAATATGAATCTTAGTTAGTAGAACTGTCGTTATCGGAGGCTTTCCTGTAATAAAAAAAAATTGGGATTTTTTCCTTCATAAATCAAATTGTGGGACAAAATATATTTTTCATATCTTCAAATTTTCTTAAACTGAACTTTCATGAATTGGGGACTGCCTGTATAATAATTATAAGAATAGTAATAATAATAATAATATTATTATTATTATTATTATTATTATTATTATTATTATTATTATTATTATTATTATTATTATTATTATTATTATTATTATTATTATTCAGTAAAATCCCCATACAGTTTTACAATTGAATAAGCATATTTATAAACTATTCAGTTCATCACAAATATAGACAATACAGTACAGTACAATAGTATGTAAAGGTATACAGTGCACGTAGGCTGTGGTACAGTACATACTGTATACAGTTTCCAGTGTACCAAAACAGTAAGGTTAACAACAATGGTAAACTGTAAGACAACTTAACCAAGGATAGCTGACAAAGCTGTGAGGTGCTTATGTTTCATTTATCCCTGTCACAGCCTAGCATCACCCATCAACAAAACATTCATCTCCCAAAACCCACTTGACACCACGCTTTATGTATTCACACTTACTCTTGCCTCCTGGAAATTTAGCCAGGCACTTTTAGATCATCCTGCAGCCAATCCTTTTATCTTTTTTTATATATACAGTCTCTCCTCGACTTATGACAGGGTTCCGTCCTGACGACCAGGTCGTAAGTCGAAAAGGCAAAAATAATACTTAGAAATTTTAAAATGGGTGTCTCTTTTTCTTCTCAGCACCACGAGAACTCTCACTTTTACGCTTGCCAGCCATTTTAAAGGGAATTGCAAACGAAAATTTTGTCAGTACACAGCGCGATCACTAACTTCGGGACTCAAAAGTACGTAATGTGAAAAATATTTTATACAACCATGGCCGTCATATGTCTGGGTTGTCGTAAGCCGAATATGTGCTGACACCATCTGATCTACTTTCTCTCCATCTCTTCTTTCTTTTCCATACAATTATCCATATCCTCTGATGTGTTGTTTCATCTCCATTTCCCTGTGTAGAATCTTCCCCAAACATTTCGGTAATGTTTACTGATTTAAACTTTAGTGAAAACTTAAAACATTTACTGGGGTACTGTACTCTATGCACTGATTTAATTACCACATAGCTTGTATAGATTAGAAATACAGTGGTCCCTCGGTTAACGAGCACAATCCATTCCAGCAGGTTGCTCGTTAACCGAAAATCTCGTTAACCGAAACCATTGTTTCAATTGGTTTTTGAGTAATTGGTTCCAGCTCACCAAAAATTGCCTAAATTCAACAAAAATGTTAGAAATTGACACTTACTTTGAGTTGTGTATGTAGAAGGCTCCTGGATGATGATGCTGATGTGAATTTGAAGTGGGAGGTGGAGGAGGAGAAGGGAGAAGAGAAGGAAGTGAAGGTGGAGGAGAAGAAGGGAGAAGAGAAGGAAGTGGAGGTGGAGGAGAAGCATTTAACTGCTTCTTGGAAGGTGAGTCACCTTCCATGAAAATGTCAGGAACCTCTGGACTGACAGATTCTCCACCATAAACATCTTCTCTCCTTCTTGAAGTGGAAGGCTGAGGGATAGCATCTTGTTCCCTCTGCCTTTTACTGAAGAAAGTGTCACTTGTGGTCTGTGGGGCATCTCTCCTCCTCACCATTAACTTAGTTTAAAGAAGGAGACCATTGAGTCCTCAACATGACACAAAGTTAGTTCAGTTTTTTCCACATCTGGGTGCTTTGAAGCCAGTTCCCTGAACTTCTCCCAGTAGTAAATCACATCTTTCAACTCTTTAGTTGACATATGGTCATCACTTTCAATTTCCTCCTCACCATTGTCAGCCTCTAACATCTCATCCAGTTGCTTCAAGTCATCAGGAGTAAGTTCCTCCTCATGAGACATCACAAGCTCTTCGACATCATCCTCTTCCACTTCAAGGCCCAATGACTGACCTATGGACACAATCTCCTGGTCCAACTCTGTGTCATCCTGAAATCCCTCAAAATCATGGACTACTAATGGCCACAGTGCTTTCCATGAAGAATTGAGAGATCTAGTGGAGACTTCTTGCCATGATGACACAATCAATTTTACAGCCTCCAGGATGTTGAATTGTGTCCTCCAGAACTGTTTCAGTGTTAGTTCCGGATCAGTGGAAGTTGCCTGATGACACCTCCTAAACATTTTCTTCATTTACAACTTCTTGAAGTTGCTGATCACATTCTGGTCTATTGGCTGTATGATTGATGTAGTGTTGGGAGGCAAAAACAACACTTTCACAAAGTCAAATTGATACTCCAAAGTTCTGGCAAGTTCAGGGTCATGACCAGGAGCATTATCCATGAGGAGAAGAGCCTTTAAAGGGAGTTTATTGGTGGTTAGGTAGCTCTTGACAGAAGGGCAAAACACCTCAACAGCCCATTCATTAAAGAGCTGTCTTGTCACCCATGCCTTACGGTTGGACTTCCAATAAACTCCAAGCTTTGTTCTTACCACTTTCTGTTGCTTGAACACCCTGGGGTTTTCAGAGTGGTAGACAAGCATAGGCTTCAGTCGGAAATCCCCTGAAGCATTGGCACCAAGCAATAGAGTGAGACGGTCTTTCATGGGTTTATGCCCAGGTAAAGAGGCTTCATCTCTGGTGATGAATGTTCTTTTGGGCATCTTTTTCCAGAACAGCCCAGTTTCGTCCACATTGAACACTTGCTGTGGAAGATAATTTTCTTCTTCCATGAGTTCTTTAAATTCCACTAAAAACTTTGCTGCCCCTTCCTTATCAGCACTAGCAGCTTCACCATGCCTAACAACACTGAAAATGTCACTCCTTTTCTTAAAATTTTCGAACCAGCCTTTGCTGCCCCGAAAATCTTCAAATTCTGTGCATGAAGAACCAGGTTGATCTGTCTTTAAATGTTCGTAAATCTCCCTGGCTCTTTCACAAATGAATTCAGTAGAAACTGAATCACCTTTCATCTGTTTTTCCCTAATGCAGATGAGAAGTAACCTCTCAGTTTCTGCAATTAGGGATCTACTTCTAAACACTCTGGTAGATTTGTCTCTCACTTTCACTTCTTTAAATTTGTCTTTCTGTGCAAGAATTGTCGACACAGTTGATGTCGACATGCTATATTCTTTGCATAGCGCATTTGTTCTAATGCCTTCTTCATGTTTTTTTATAATTTCCTGCTTGGTTTGGATTGAAATCGCTTTTCTTGATCTCTTAGGCCCCATGCTGGATTCAAACAATGTCAACACGTGATTTTTTAAGTTTAAACTGCGCTATATATTGTCAATATGTAAAATAAATTTCAAAATGACCAATAATTTGCTTGGAAACACAGAAAAAAAGCAAAGTTGAAGAGAGTCTCAAGCAAGATGTTACCTCCACTGAAAACAGAGAGAGACTACCACTTATTTGGTATGTTAAAAGGCTGGATGGCGCGCCACAAACTAGTGACTTTACCTTCAATTATGTTCGATAATTGTTAAAATGACTAAAAAATATAATATTAAACTTTTAGAATTATTGAATAGTATAAACTTCTTGATATTTGCTAAAATAGTAAGGAATTTAAGCCCTAGAACCGATTACTGTATTGGCGGACTAATACTACAGCTGGTTGACCGCCAAGTGCAAGCGAAAACATGTTGAGGTCGGCTCGTAAGAAACTCGTTAATCGAGGGATTGCTCGTTAACCGAAGTTAAGAATCTTATTGGAGGTAACTCGTTAACCGAGGCGCTTGTTAACCGAGGGATCACTGTAGTAGAAAGGAGGAGGGTTGCCACAATAAGTATATAATGTACATGTGAGAGAGTAGTACAGTAGTAAGAAATATAAAAAGACTGAAGGGCACATACGATAAAAGGAGACAGCTAAAGAATGGGAAAATTTTAGTAACTGGGGTGATTAAGAAAACTACAGTTAGCCAGACAGCTGGTGTACATTGTGAATAATGGCTAAAGACATTAAGCATTCCAAGAAAAGATACCTTTAATAAAACATTAATCTCTTGATAGCTGTATAATGTAGGTACTGTACGGTTTGCATTTGTTTTTTACAAATATCATTTGTAGATCTTATGTGTAAGTGTTAGGCTGAAAAGTAAAATTAGGAATGTGAAAATAAAGACAATTTATGTAAAGGGAAGTGTGTGTAGAGTTGTGTTGCCATATGTGTGTAGTGTTTACAGCAGAATTTATTACAGTACCACATATGAGGTTGTTTTGTAGTGCTCATCATGTAAAGTAAATACAGTATGTTTATATTTTTATTTTTGTCTTTAAACAGGTTCAGGAACTTCTTGAGGAGTACCAAGTGGATGGACAGCACAAGTGTAAGACATGTGGAGAGATAATAGCTCGCAAAGCAGACTTTTTGGTGCATGTTGATTCCCACAAAGATTTCATGCCATGGGAGTGTACCATCTGTGGGACCCGCTTCAAGATCCGGGGTTCTCTAAAGGAGCACCTACGTTACACGCACATGAAGGGCCGAGTACCTTGCCTCAAGTGCAATAAGGTGTTCCCCACCTCCACACTACTGAGACAGCATGTTAAGGTAAGAAATTATTGATTTTATTAATTTTTTTTTACTTACAGTACTGTCATCTGCATAATGCAGTTTCCTACTCACATAGTAGGATGTGGCCCATATTGAAAACCTTCCCAAGCATTTCAGTTACTGACCATTTCTACACCATCTTGTGTCAAAATAATAATAGTAGTGAAGTGTACATTAGCTATAGAAATTTGTTGGTTTGGAAAAGTAGAAATAAGAAAATCAATACCTGTACAATGAATGATAAACTTAGAAGTAAAGAATGGATTAAAACAGTAGAAAATACTACTAGTTAAAAGATATTTTCAGGGTTAAATTTTCTGTGGCAAGCCACCAAGTCATGTTGTGATGCAGTGTAATTGAGGTGAAAAAAGTTCAGCAGCATGAGAACTGGCACCTTTTTATCCAGTACTCTGTATCCCTCAGGGGTGCCATGTGAAACCCAAAACAAGAAAAAAAAAAATATATATATATATATATATATGTGTGTGCAAGTAAATCACTGTAGTTGTGTGTGATCCAGGTATATGCTGATAACCACAAGGAAAGAAGAAAACATGAAGTTCCCAAGCTCTTTCGTGTAATTCACCTTGTGGTTATCAGCATATCAGCATATATATATATATATATATATATATATATATATATATATATATATATATATATATATATATATATATATATATATATATATATATATATATATATCCTATCTATCTATCTATCTATCTATCTATCTATTTTATCTATATATATATATATATATATATATATATATATATATATATATATATATATATATATATATATATATATATATATATATATATATATATATATATATATATAGTCGACTCCCTCATTAATTCGGACTAATATGGGGGAGGGTGTCCGCTTTTATTTATTGTCCGAATTAACCAATTTAGGTTAGGTTAGGTTAGGAAATATAGTACCGTATATACACTGTACGCTGAACATGATACACAGTAACAAAAATACAGGAAATACTGTAAACATCATATAACTAGCTATATAAAACATTACAATATGTTAATTTCATTTACCTTTGATCGATGACACATTCTATGGCGATTTCCAAATCGCCATAACCACCCGTCACTAGCTTCGAAATTCTCGATGCCCATATGACTTGCTAGCTTAACAGCAGCAGTTTGTATTTCTACACCACGGACGACATTACCACAAGATCGTTTCTGCACAAACCACTTCGTCACTGCCTCCTTAAGATTTGTATCTTTGCATCTTTTGCCACTCTCATACACTTCCTTGCACCAACAGATGATGATTTAGAAGTTGCATCAACATTATATTTCAAAGAAAATGCAATGAGTTTGTCCTTAGCCTTGCGTATGTCCGAAACTGTTTGCTTTTTAACACCATACTCGTCACAAACTCTAGACACCGAAGCACCAGCCTCTAACTTCCTTACAAGTTCCAGTTTCTGGTTCACAGAAAGGGTCACATACTTCCTCTTCGGCATTTTATTCCCCCTTGAAGACATGATGTAAAATACAAGGCTGAAAGATGCCTAATCACTGAAATATCAACGAAAATTGCAGGGCATCACAACACTGATGCTCGAATATGGCGCTAGGTCAACAGTGACTGGCGTGACTCACGCGCGCACAAGGCCGCCGCGTGACCCATCTATCGGACAATCCCAGAACCATAAATTTGGTATGGACTCGTCTATAACCCTCCCTCGTTTATAGGTCGACCCTGATTTTTTTACCCAAAAATTTTTAATTTATGATATTCCTTGTTTATAGGTCGACCCAAGTTTTTGACGGTATTGGAACAACAAAACCTTCAGTAAAAACACTGTGCCTGAAACACCGAGTGCCGAAGGTAAATTGTTTACCATTTATTATTACGACACTTTACACTGAAACGCAGGTAGTATTTATTCAGATCCATTAGGAGGGAATATTATTGTATACAACAGTTTTTTAACTGAAATCCATTCGAAAAGCGATTACGGTAAAATCTTTTGAACAATGAAAGAAAGCGCAAGTCATTGTTTTCGTCATGATTTTATCCCACTTTCCACTGAAATACGTACGTAATTTCAGCAAAAATATTGCATTTCCATATTTATTTTTGAGAATATATTCATTCAGTCACAGTTAAGGTAAAATATACTTGTGATGTACAGTGGCCCCTCGGTTAACGAACTCAATCATTCGTTCGTTAACCGAAACGTTCGTTAACCGAAACCATTGTTTCAATGGGTTTTTGGGTAATTGGTTCCAGCTCACCGAAAATTTCCTAAATTCAACAAAAATGGTAGAAAAGTTCACTTACTTTGAGGTGTGTATGTAGAAGGCTCCTGGATGATGATGATGATGATGGGATTTAGAATGGGGGTGGAGGAGAAGGAAGAAGAGAAGGCATTGGGGTGGAAGAGAAGTCACCCCATGGTGCCATTTCACCCATAAAATTTTAGCTCTCTGGTTTAATTCAAGATTATTTTCTTTAAATCAACGCTGCACTGCATTATATATTGTCAATATATAAAATATATTTCAAAATGACCAATAATTTGCTTGGAAACACAGAAAAAAAGCGTTTAGTTGAAGAGAGTCTCAAGCAAGATGTTACCTCCAGTGAAAACAGAGAGAGACTGACGCCTGTTTGCTGTGTTAAGAGGCTGGATGCCGCGCATTAAACTAGTCACTTTACCTTCAATTTTGTTCAATAATTGTTAAAATGACTAAAAAATTGAATATTAAACTTTTAAAATTATTGAATAGTATAAACTTCTTGATATTTACAAAAATAGTAAGGAATTTAAGCCCTAGAACCGATTAATGTATTGGCGGACTGATACTAAAGCTGGTTGCCCGGTCAGTGCAAGCGAAAACATGTTGAGGTCGGTTCGTAAGAAGTTCGTTAAGCGAATTTTTTTTCGTTAACCGAATTGAAGATCCTTATGGAAGGCAGTTCGTTAATCGAAATTACGTTAAACGAGGGGTCACTGTAATATTTTAATGAAAATACCCGATATCTAGAAATACTACGGTATCGTAGTTTTCTTTTGTTTCAAATTTAATTAACAAAGATTGATGTTTCAAATGCAATGAACAAAAATTTATGTATCTATAAATAAACTTTAAAAAATGAATACTTTGTTTTACATCATCCTGTGCTACCATACCATGCATTTGGCTACTTTGGGCTTGCTATGATGACGCAAGAGATCTGCCCTGGCAACTGTACCGACACTCACAGCTGGTGGTGCGTCGTTTCCATTGTTTACTGGTAGTTACTGGTAAATATTTTTCAACCTAACGAAACTATTACGCGTTTAGAGGTCGACCCCCAATTTTTTGCCAAAAAATTTGGGGTCCACTGAACATGTAGCTATGTGTATGTATGTTTATTTGAGTGCCCCGTCATAGGAGTCCGTTTTCTCTAGCTTCAGGACGCCTGAGTCTTCCGTTTTCTCTCTTAATCTTAGAGTGCACCAGAGACTTTGTTAATCCTTAGTGATGACACAGAATTTGAAATTGCAACCCCATTTGCAACTGGGACAATCCCACAACCAGAAATTTGGTACGGACAGTTCAGATTTCGTCCGATTTATCCGAAATCCGGATTAAAGGGGTCCGAATTAACAAGGGTCGACTGTGTATATATATATATATATATATATATATATATATATATATATATATATATATATATATATATATATATATATATATATATATATATATATATATATATATATATATATATATATATATATATATATATATATATATATATATATATATATATATATATATATATATATATATATATATATATATATATATATATATATATATATATATATATATATATATATATATATATATATATATATATATATGCTGATAACCACAAGGAAAGAAGAAAACACGAAGTTCCCAAGCGCTTTCGTGTAATTCACAATATTAATAATTATTGGTTAGCAACTTCAGTCACTTTATGTTTCCTAATTTATTGGTAAGTTAATTAGGACCATTATGCTCCATCTTTCTGACATCTTGTATGGGCAAGATGTTTATAGAAGTCATTATCATACAGTATTCCTCTATATCACTTCAGGTATTTTCCATCATTAGTATGTCTTATATCTTTCTGTGTTCTGTGCAGGTACAGTGCATTCATATTTATGGTTGAGTCTACCAAATACACTCTCAAGACTACCAGATATGTGGTTCAATAAATGTCCTTCCATCATGGTGTTTGTTGGGTAACTGTGGTCCATTACAAAATAGTCCCGTCATAATCAGGATCATCAGGGTCTTGTAACTCACTCTCACCACCAGAAGCTTTTAACTCTACTGTGGGAATTTCAATTTCAGTCCTAAGTATTGTTTTCCTCTTGCCTCTCATTAGACAATGTATGTGGGGAGAAAATTGCTGTAAAACATAAACACAGCATATGAATGAATGTAAAACTATAATTCTAAGTATGTCTCATAAAAACATTGACTACAAATAGGAAAAGGATGACATTAAACAAGCAAATACCAATTATCACTAAAAATACAAGTGTTAAATGTCCCAGGCCTTGAGGCAGCGCCACACACCTTACATCGCTCTTTACAGCCCAGCAATCACCACAGGCCCACAGCTGCCTTTAAGAGGATATAAAGCATATTTATTAATATTAGAGGTTTCTATAAATTTATAAACTGCCTAAAAACAGAAAAAAATACTATTAACCATCGGTCACGTAGACTGTATAGAAAAAATCAGGATGAAAATGATAAACATTTCCATGGATATACATTTAGCAGCTTATTACAAGTTGCCAGGATTTTATTGGTACAGTATATAAGATCATTATGTATGTGAGGTATAGCTTGAAAAACAGTAGCAAGAATAACTTTAATTCGCATACAGTATCTACTTACGTTAAGGCATCCTAGCCTGCCGGCAACAATGCCAAGTATTTGTACAGGATATCACCAGATGTCAGCATG